TGGCTACGGGCATGTCATATAGGCTTTGCACCATCAGTCGATTTAACTCCATGGCCCTGATTTTATTGGACTATGTTTGCCAATGTTAACCATTTTCAAACCTGCATGTTCTGTGAAAAATAACACAATTCAAACTATTGTATATCATGACGGTTTTTAAGATTTTGCTTTCTTGTCGTGCAGATGTTTTAGAATTACTTTGTTGTCCAACAACCACTACGAAACGTTCCTGGACGGTTTTAAGCTTGAAGTTGGAACGAGACTGTCTGACGAAGTCGAGATCAACTCTGAGATCGATCGCCGAAAAGTCAAACTAACCAGCTCCCGGCCTGCTTTTGCCCAAAGCAGCTCTTATATCTAATCCTCAGTAAGTGGTAGAAGCAATTTGGTGTGTGGACTTTGACGCTGCCAAAGTGGTTATATTAGTTGAAAACGTGCTTCTTGCAGTTATAGGATTAACAGTTAGTTGATTTTAACCGTTGATTTACGGCATGCAAAGTGTGTCATTTGTAACTTTGCAACAAAAATATGTGCCTTTCTTTTCCTTTTCTTTCTTAACATGTTCTGTGCCACCAAAACCTATTATATTTTAGCTTCAGCCTATAGGTTCCGCCATATTAATTGTGTCACGTCATTGTTATATTGGTACCAATATATACTAGTAGTAAGGTAATCTCCAAGCAGATCTTTCGGTGGGGGACAGTATCAAATTGGCCAGCCTGTATCCATTTGTGGGTTGATACTGATACTGATACTGTGTTACCCCCACCGAAAGATCTGCTTGGAGATTAGTAGTAAGAAACCGTCAACGGAACCACCTCTAATCATAGAATGACTCTACCCACTCTACCAATCACAAAATCGGATGGCCATGACGTCACATTTTATTTACGTCATTTGTTTTACCTGCTTGACAAGTATAAAATTGGATAGATTTTAAGACAGGAGCAAATAAACACTGACCTGTTGTTACAAATACTTCGCACACTTTGTCGTAGTAATCTAGCGGGCCACGTGACATGCCGTACGCATCGCGCATGCGCATGAGGACGGAGCTGCCCGTTGACCTGTCGCTGACGTCAGACACTGCGTCATCAAACGGTGACGTCGCCTCGGAGGACGTCAGATTTCTCCTGGAGTCGCCCTAAACAAACAAAAAAGGAAGATGCGAAATGCAACCTACTTGTTTTTTATCCCTTTCTTTCATCGGGCTTATATTGTAGAATATATAATATTGTAGGGCAAGCCAAAACGATAAGTTATACCCTTCACTCACTGTATTTAAACCAAGTACATTGTATTGCTTGGCATTGCACGCAGTCTATTTGTTTATTTCAATTTACCATAAGTACAAATGTACAAGTGGAAGGGAGGGCAAAACCTTTACAAGTTGTCCTCCCAAACACTACAATATAAATACAGAACAATACAATATCAATCAAACAGATTACAATATCAAACCTTGTTAACATGAAATACAAATTCAATATCATACATTAGAAATGAAAAGAAATGTACAATACAATGTCATAAAATATCATACATTATATACAATCCAGTCAACTTTTCTTGAATAGTTCAGTTTGGCTGTAAACACCATTAGTATTTATCACTCTGGTGATCAGTTCAGTATTCAACAGTCGTCAATGATGAAAGTACGAGGTATTTAACACTCCCTGGTGAGTGTGTCTCTTCCATATTTCATAGGTTTTGATACTAGGGACTGATAAAACCTGGTGAAAAATGATTCTGAAAATTAAGTAGAATTGGCAAAGCGAGCTGAGGCTTACACTTTTAAGTTAAAATTCATTTCATTAACTTTAAATCTCATTTGTACACTTTCTTTGCGATATATCTTTCATAGACGTGAGAAGGTTTCTACAGGTCATAATGGTCGTACGGCACCTCAAGGTCGCAGAACACAGTATGACGCGGGTATAGAAAGTAGTGCGTACAAACTCTTGAATCCTGGCTAGAGCGACTTATGTGAGAGGCTAGTGTAGCTGGTATATAAATGTATAAGCTTGTACACCGTATAATTTCGATTGTGAATATTTCCCTGTTCGTGTATAAATGCGTTGGCCGGCTGCAATTCCGTTGACTTTGTTTTCAGTTATTTTGTAGATTATACCGTACACTTCAACATATTAGTTGTCCCTCTAGTGCACCCTACTATAATTTTTACAGGGTGAAGGGTTCACCTACAGGGTTCGAGGTGAGTCACCTTGGGGTAGCTATAGAAATCCCCATAGGGCAAAAACTGTGTTCTGCCACCTCAATCTCGTAGACCCGACGTCTACCTGGAATGTACTGGTAACGTTACATGTTCCATATTGAAGCCATCCATTTTGTTCAAGAAAAATCAGATAAAGTAAGATTAGTTTTCTCGTCGACAGAGGTGAGAAGTGGGTCAGCTGCAGGCGGAAGATAAGAAGTTCTGACCACATGACTAACGTCTCTAGGTAGTGATATATCTAAGCTACAAGAAAAGTTTTTTTATTGAGCAACATAGAAAGTCGGTGAAGGTTAGACATCCAGGTAATAAGATACGTCAAAAAACAGTTGCTCGAGCAACTGGATATGATTATTGGAAACGGTCAGGCGTTTCAGGTAGCATCCACTACCTTTCGTCAGTGACATTGGAGAGTTGTCAGAAAAGCAGGTTTATACTTAAGTACAGAATATATTCGTCAGTGACTCTGGAGAGTTGTCAGAAAAGCAGGTTTATAAGTACATATATTCGTCAGTGACTGGAGAGTTATCCGAAAAGCAGGTCTATGAGTACGAACTATGGTACATCAATAGTACTATTTAACTACCAATAGTTCGTACTTATAGACCTACTTTTCGGATAACTCTCCAGTGTCGCTGACGAAAGGTAAGGAATCATATCCAGTTTCTTGAGCAACTGTTTTAGGCGAAGGATAATCATTGTCGAGGTCAGACTTTGCCGCCCTCTCTCGGGCCACGTCCCCGTCTTAGTGAAAATCGATCAGGAGAACTGGCTTCATACACCGGACCCGATGGAAGCAGATCTAGACACGCAGATGGGAAGATAGCGGGTACTCGTAATTATTTTAGTCTCCACCAGACTCCTTTGCAGGCTGCTGTATAAGTAGTAGAAATAGGCCTAAAAGGGGGATTTAATTGGTCAGAGGCAGGCAAATGGACTCTCTCTGGCCGGCCAACTTCTCTGGCCAATTAAATCCCCTTTTTAGGCCGATGTCTACTATTTATTCAGCCTGCAAAGGAGTCTGGTAGAGACAAACTCGTCATATCTGATAGGGGAAGATCTTCTCGTAATGGTTAGCCATTTTGCACCATTTAATGTAATTACGCAGTGCATGGGAGATGTTCTATTTCAAACAGTGCCACATATGCTTACAATGATAAGTTCACCAACTCGTGATCAACCACTCCCTCTCCCCTTTCTCTCTCCCTTTCTCTCTCTCTCACTCTCTCTCTCTCTGATATCTAATCTAGATTTCTGTCACACACAGCCTGTCGTTATGTCCTTTTCCCCAGTCCCTCTTTCGTCGTAAAATGTCAATGATCTACATTCCTTGACATACAATCTTACCGCAGACTGCCAACTTGATAGCTGTACCGATAAATCGTACCCAAGGGAACATGGTCGATTTTAACCGTATCCGCTATATTCCGTTATTTATTGAAGTGCTGACATTAACAAAAACACCTCATTCATCAGATTGTGATATCGCATACCAAAAACATTAAACGCTTGTTGATATATGTTACCTCCTTTAAAAATATATTTCATAGAGTTTACAGATTACAACTTTGGGTACTTATCATAATTATCAACATGGCGTCTGGGACCTTTCTGACGTTTACTAAATGAACTCACTTTTTTATTCTTTTGAATGTTTTTTACTTCACTTCTGAGATTGATTTTTCCACCTGATCTTTAATTTGCGTGAACGATATCGAATGGTAGGATTAAGATGTATGCTTATGGCTCCTAGAAATATCGATAAATTCAGCAACAGTTCATTCGAGGAACTCTATCATCACTGATTTAGATCTATTCTACCGCTGGGAAAATTGAGATACTTGCAGTATGGGCTACGAGATAAGTGAACGATTTCATTGATTCTTTTGTGAGGAAAAAGCAGAAAAAAGGAAATGGCATTTACAATATTTACAACACATCCTAACAGTATATGTGCATAACTGTGTTCACAGATTAATTTTCTGATATTAAATTAAGATAAAGATGCAAGAAATACTAAGGGAAGATTATTTATCTGCTCAGATTATTTTGGTAGGCTCTTCAACTAGATGTGCTACGCTCCAAGCAGAAGTTTGGGTTATTTTTGGCATGTTTTGGGGCTTTTTTTATCGGGGTTTCTTTTTTTGCACTGGAATTTGGTGAAAATAAATCCCAGTGCAAAAAAAAAAAAGAAACCCCGATAAAAAAAGGCTAAAAACACGAAAAAACTATCCTAAAACCCAAACCTCTGCTTGAGTATAGATGTGCTACCCTAGCATTCCAAACGGTTATGTTCCTCCAGTAAAACGCTTAACCGCCGCAAATGGGAAGCATTTCGAGCCAAACGTGTACTTATCGTACATAATCCCCCCCAACAGTGCCCATGCGGGATGGGAGACATGTCATTAGTCCGGAGAGTACCGGCGAGCAATCGGCATAATCACCGCAGACGGGAAAGCCTTTCCATCAAATATTTACTAGGGGAGAACGATAATTGTGCCACCAAAATACTTTACCTCCGAAATCAGCCATTTTACAAATCCTAATTACAACCAAAGGCACGTAAAGAGGAAAGAATAAAGGACTACTGTAGTCACAGCAGTATTGTGCGTACGTTTTAAAAGATACATTGTGTATGAGACAACGTATACTTTCGGACATTGCCCGCAACGGTTTTTAGATATAATAGCCTTGTAGTCAATCATCATTAGTGAATAGAGTGACCACGAATACGTCAAGTTTCCTTTCCTCAAACATGGTCTTTTATGAAGTACCGGAAGACTCGAAATATGGTACAACATGTTTAAACATATGTCCGCAAAACTGCAAGTCTGTGCGCATAAGTCTGTCAGTTTCTCTGGATGGTATTATGGTTGTCATTCTATCAGCTTTAGCGCAACGCAAATCTAGATGAACCTACCTGTCGCATGTTTCCCTTGTATCCTAATTCGCGTGTGGAATATAACAAAGCAACTGACGAGAAGAACACTTCCTCCGCCGCTCACACGACGCCTTGCCTCCGCCGCTTGTCCTCACGTCCTCTCCTGCAAGACTGCCCCTAGAATGACGACCGTTCTACTCATCGCTCAAAAGACACTCTCCTAGACCAGTCATCATGTGGGCAACATCGAAAAGACGTAAAAACGGTTTGAATTGCAGTGAATTGTGGAAAACGTGTATGTCTTGCCAAGAGCGGTGGATCAGGTGCGTCGGTAGCACCATTACCTCTAACTAGCAGGACGAATGTCATAGAAGTGCGCAGCGTGGTGCCGGCTCTGGTCTGATTGGCCAACTTCAAATGAGCAAAATGACTAGTATCGCCGGCGTACTACTAATGGCGTGGCGGGGTTGTTTCTACCCTTTTGAACTAGAAGGGCACAGTTGTAACTGTTTGAAAGCGAGGAAACTCTAGCTCAAAAATGTGACATCTGTTCTAAATACACGGTTGAATTACAAGGCCATTTTATGTATTTGTTATACAATACTCCATATTTACTGTTTTATTCTATGACTGACGATAAAGCTCAACCCCTCACCTCTTCCGTGCAGTGTGATACTTGTGTTCGGTATTCCCACGATGTTGCAGGCTGAATTATTTAGGAAAGGGTTCATAGTACGGGTCAGAGTACTGACGGAAGTAGCAGTAGGGATGCGACTGATCTTTGAAGCAGGGAAAGGAACAAAGGTATGCTGGATAGAGACGCCGATTGGCGTTAAGGTTTCGGCGTTCTTTGATCTATCATTAATGGCCACAGAGGAACCTACTTACCGTTTGGTGGCTTGTTGCTGTAGATCAACGTGTTATTTATAAATGAAAGTTAATGGCAGGTTCCTGCCCGTAGGCTAATTATAAGTACATGTAACATGAAAATAAAGAATTGACTTGTGCTATCTGCGTGACATCACGGAAGCGGTGGATTGCCAATTCCTTGACAAATACTGGAGTTGTACAGTCGAAAATTTCTGCGAGTCCAATTTTTTGAGTTGGCAACTACAGTTCAATCTTGTTCATAATGACTTCTACCAACACAGATGAGCTTTCAAGATAAAATTCTAACTTATTGGCTTTATAGATTGTTGGCCTTTGCATCAAATATCTACTGTCTGCAATCAGTCTGCACCGTACGTATACGGGTCAACGTGGCGTTCGATCGAAGAAAGTAGGTCATAGTCACATCTTCCTTTAACCTTTTTAGCTTGCCGGGGAACACCCAAGTACATGCTTCGTGCATTTGCGTTCTGTTCTTGATTAATTGGAAGCCAGCTGTTTTCTGCAAAGCGCACGGAATACGTTTCACCGTCAGGTCACCGCGTTTGAATTTAACCCAGACACATAGCCAGGGAGCAAACGGCAGAGACGTTCAACAAGTTAGACTTTCCCGTGAATTTCTGATTCTTGCTTCATTCACCGTTGTGTCTTTCTATCCTGTTCTATGCATTTTCCCACTGACCCCATGAGGCAACCAACAGAACATGGGTATGGCAGGTAATTAAAGAAAGGGGACATACGAGATACATGACGAGATTGTTACCCAAGCAACTGGATCGATTTTGAAAACTGTCAGACGTTTCCAGTAAACCTGCTACTTTTAGTCAGTGACTTACGAGATATGTTTACAATTCACAGCCACTCTGACCATCACTCAAGCTAAGCTAACAGTCTATATTTTCAGTATTCACATCGTACAGAGCCCTCAATTTACGAGGTCCCATGTAGACATGCTACACTCGTATCTAGTAAATCTTAATTGCAAACAGTTAAGTGACGTGCAGTCGATAACATCAACCGATATCCTGCGATGTATTGGTCATTTGAGCCAATTGGTACAAGTTGATCGCATTACTGTGGCCTAATTCTTCCTAGATCAATCCTCTTGGGGCATCTCATTTTTTCCGAGCTGACATATTTGCTAACTGTACATTCATCGACCGTTAGGTAAAGGCCCTTTCCCACTTAAGTTTAAGTCTTTATAATAGGCTCACTACGTATTTTAAAAAGCCATCAATCATCCAATCGTCAAAAGACACGATCCGCTGAAACAGGAAACACAAAGGCAGGATAAAAGGAAAGTGCCATAGATAAAGAGAGAGAGAGCTTAAATGGTCGTGGGCTACTTCTCGGTGCACTAAGATGGAAATACTCTTGTGAGGAATGGGATCCTGTGCAGGCAAACAGTAGGTCATACGGACACACATAGGTTACCTTTAAGTAGTAAAAGAAGCAAACACATGTATTTGTATCGGTATGGCCGGTATAACCGCCCTTCGGCGTAACAACACTCCAGCTTCGCTGGCACGCGGCGCGGCTAAAGCTAGCTATATCACACAGAACGACTTGTGAATGTAATGTATTCATCTTTAGCGAGTTTTCATAAATTTATTTTGTTTATATCCACAAATTAAAAGAAAAACTCACAATATTACAATTTGAACTTAGGCCCGATCACCTACACTGAGAACGGTCTATCGTTCTGTCAAAATCCCATAGTTTGTAGAGGTGCTGCATTCCATTGGCCGAATTTTTCATGCTTTCATCTAAAACTGAATGGCATGCTTTACTACCTATTCCCTTTCCTTGATGTCTTGCAACGAGGAACAAATGTCCCAGAGGAGAGTGTGTCATGGGTGAATCCGTTCGTCGTCGTGATTTGAAGGACTGATATGAAGTGTTTTAATCATAGTGAGTGGTGCAGTCTACGCAGGGCCCAAAAAGGGTGCGTTGGAGATGAAATGCACTCGATCATATATTTTGCCCCATTTAGGGAACGATAGGGGGGTGATAGTTCTCCCTCCTTCTTCTAGTACGAGTCTCAACGACGTTGAATTGAATGTGCAAAAGATGAGATACGAAGAAGGTTTTCACCTATAAGAAATCCCACCGTACAGATAGTGGATATGTCCTTGGTGCTGAATTCTGTATCTATATCTGTGTAGCTATAGCTGGTATAACGTCCCATCGCCTCGGCGTAACACACCAGCTAAACGATGAGATATGAAGATGGTTGTCAATATATAGAAAATCTTGACAGTCCAGACAGAGCTACTGAACCTGTCCTTGGTGCTGAATTCATCGCTGCTTTGTTACAACTTGACGTGACGGACTAGCTCGTCTGGCTCTTAAAATCCACCTAAGAATCCTACTAGCCGAAGGACTTTTGCTATACAGACTGACAGACAGACAAACAGACAGACAAACAGAGCTGCCTAATAATTATTTCCATTTGCCTTCAGAAACACATTCACAGTCCACCGATGAAAGAAGAAGGGAAACCTTAAACTTAGATGATACATTTTTTTGTATTTTACTCAACATATTTGCTTACACCAACATTCGCATTGGTGTTGGCTGTGTTTACGAAAAAGAATGATATGCGGGAAACTACAACAAGATTGACATTGGTGTTGGCTTTGTACAAAAGAGAATAATATATAGGAAACTACATCAACATTCGCATCGGTGTTGGCTGTGTACGAAAGAGAATAATAAATAGGGAAAACCTCAGCATGTAAAATGGACCACTTTTTATCGCAATGACACAGACAGGCTTGTGATGAGTGTGGTCCCCCGGGTTGGCATTTCACGGCGGATCAACCGTTGAAGGTTTAATTTCCCCTGTCAGCCTGGCTACAAAGAACGGGGGGTTTAGGTCGGAGGCTTGGGGGATATAAAACCTTCATGTTATTAAGAATCTTATCTCTGTACTTAATCACAGGTTATACAGTGTTTAGAGCTCGCAGAACAGCCGAAACTGAGACTAATCGGTTACCAATAACAAGATTAGGTAGGGTTTTGTAGCTTCTAATGCGGTTTAAATGGTTGAGGTTGAGTTCTGAATGTAATCATATTATCGAAAATTAAATAGTTCTCCAGATAATTGTAAACATATATGCTAACACGGGCACCCTTTATAGATGTATGTCTATATATATACGTATATATGAATATATATGACAGTTTTGCCAGTTTTCATTTTCTTCATGTACTATACATATGTCTTGCCCTTGTCAAACATTTTTTTTTCAGAATGGCGAAATATTATTACAACCGACACCCAGTGCACAGCCCTGCGGGTTAAACCATTCCACACCCGTATGTAACAACTGCCGGCATCAGCACGGGCTTTTTCATAATGAAAAACAGAGGTAATGTATCATGTATCCAAGTATCCAAGTATCCAAGGATCATGTGTGGATCGGCGCCCTATTTTAATTTCCTCGGCTAGAAATGCCTTGCAGGGACAGGCAAAACTTTGGAGAGAAGATTTAGTTTGCGTGTAAACCTTGTGTACGATATCCGTGAATAGTTTCATCAGGTTGGTAAGTCACTGAGTAAAGAGACTCTTTTTACTCAACCAAGTCTTTTATTCAGCCGACGTTTCGGTGACAGTATGTCACCTTCCTCAGGGTAATTCTGACTGGTTCACATTGCAGTGCAGCACAGGTGACGCTGCTATAGATGCATCCCCAAATGTGTACTTGTGTACAATACGTTAAGAGTTTTGCTGGTTTGATATGCAAAGCATTAACCAACCTGTGAGGGAGACTCCTTGTTTGAAACATTGCGTTTCTCTCCTTTAATATTGAAGACTGTTGAGAGAAAACGTGGCTCTTTCGCCTCTTGATTGTGATTTCTACGCCAACGCTTTTCTGGAATGTTGGTCCATAGTAAGCTATTATAATACTAATTTCTTTTTATCTTTAACTACAAGAGGCTAGACTCTTTGCTCTTGTTCGAAATGTTTGCTCAGAGGTTTGTGCTATATCAGTTAGAAACGTGACTGATGTGTCCCATAAGCAGGCAACACCACTAGCTTCTTCAGAATACGATTAATTTCCGACACTGTGACATTTGTCGTTGTTACAATAGTAGCGTGAAAAGGGCCAGTTGTGTCGACCTTCTCGAGTCTAGAAAGGGGTCAAGGCAGTCCTCTCAATATTGCCTCGCCTTCAGAGAAAATCTTCTCATTTATCTTACCATTACAGTGATCCAAAACTCTGTCATGCTGGCATCTGTCCTGGAGAGATATGCGCGACTGTAGGAGTAACAAAAAAGCGAGCCCAGTGGGTGCGAGGATTCTTTTCATCCGGGACAGAGTGATGTAGTAGGGTTCTTTGTTAGGGACACCTAAGGACGTTGATAACAAGGCGAATCCCAACGTATGCAGGCGTGTTAATGCTATAATTTATCATACGTGATAAGGAATCCAACATGCTCCCGTAGCGCTTTTCTTAATAACAATAATAGTATTACGTTTATGAAGGTTAGTTATCCAGGAGTATGGCACTTATAAATCTTGATTTAATCAATACTTTGGAATACGACAGACGTCTCGAATGCTAACCAGCTATCTTCGCTTCTTTATTGGTTTATTTATTTATTTGTATCAACAACAGCATAATTCCGATGCTTGTTTACAACATAAATCATAACATTAGGGTCATAAATGCAATCATTATGCGTATCCATCACTATAACGACACAGACAGGTATAAATAACATGAAGGATTTTGCAAAATCAAACTTCCAGTTTACGTACTTTGGTTCGCCCTGACAAAAGTTATATCAAGAAGCCACTCACTAAGGTGTCATGTAAGGACACACCTGAGTCACGCCTGCACTTATCCCCATTTCACGTGTTATTCATGAATGTCTCTAGTGGTCCATACACATGTAGAGTATTGCCATCGCTCCCGGTAAAAAGTACTATTGAGTTCTCGCCTTGTGGGTCCACAAAATAAAGTAGGTTGGCTCTGATGTGCTCCTAAGAAGAGCTGCAATCTTCGTATTTTCTTTAATTTGTTGTGGATCGTCCCAAATGCCGAGAAGCCTCCCCTCTTGTTTACCTGGAGCTTCTGTCACAGGAAAAAAACTCATCACTCAATGTCTTCTAGGCATAGACGTTGTTTTGGGATTAGCCCTTTGAAATCTCGCACTTTCGCGTTACCATTTGTGCCCGACTCCAATCCGAGTTGATCGGAAGAAAACACAACATTACTCGCAATGCCTATTAGGCATAAACGTTCTCTGGGGATCACTCATGGTGTTTTGAAATGCCGCATGGCCATTTTGCGTATGTCCCCATCGTTACAGGCACTGCATGTGAATAATAAGATTGATGGCGGTTTTACCATGCTGTGGTGACGAGGGCCCTTTTTTGGCCGACTAAACATTATATGAGATTGGCTGACTGCTGCCTCGAGCACTGCTACCTTCAATAACGCCATCCATCTTATAACGATCTCAAAGAGAGCAGGGTTACGTAGACATGTAGTGAATTGCAGCAAGTCTAAATCAGGAGCGATACAAAGTTCGAAGAAAAATCTAATGTCTGTAACTGTAACTCTCGCGGGATCACGTTGTGAAGTGATTGTTCATTAATTATCCTGATGAAGGCTAAAGTTGGAATAAAGTTCAACATTTAACTAACATCTGATGATGTTAAAAATAGTGTCACCTGCAAGTTGTTAATACATGTGCTGGAGCACGTACTAGCCAAGGGACCGATTGTCCCCAAAATAATATAATTGGTGTGACCCAAGAACTATTGAAGATGTGTCATCATGAAGTTATGAACATATGTATAGATAATTAAGTGTCTTGCAATTGTGAGCCACTTTCCGACATGTCTTGTCGGACCCAAGAGACATCATCATGAAGAGTTTAAGGAAAACATATCGAAGATAGATAACCTAATCGTGCGTTTTATGGATAGCAGCGTCTCAGCCATGCAGTGTTTGTATCGATTATGCTCTAAAAGAAATGTTTATGGCCAGGAAAGATTACCCAGGGGTAACGACTCCGGCGGACCTTGTATCGGTTTCTGGGCAGAGCATATCCGTTTTACTTGTTACTAAATCTGCAGTGGCAAGGAGCTGACAGGTATGGGAATACAGATACTAGTATATTCATTCTAGCTGGCAAACGGCCAGTTTACGACATGACTAAAGTTACATGTGATTCAAAATGTTGGAAAGGACTTTTTCCTACAAATATCCGGCCAGAAAGGAGGTTCTATATATTTAAGCACTGTTTTCTTTTCAGTCATAAGTTTTATAAGCCCTAGATGTACACAGATGTCCTGCGACGTATGCAGAACATACTATCTTGAAAATATTATGCTGTCACGCCCTCTGTCTGGAGCAATAATAACAGCAGCATGGGATTTGGCCATGGTGGCAGTTGTGGAACGTTCTGCTTGCCTCTCCCTCAACACTTTCAGTAGAAAATATGCCTATGGTCCCTAGAGAGAACAATTAAGTGTCAAGCCTTTGGAGAGCAAGACAGCTTTGAGTATACTGATCCTAACCCAAAGTTGATTGTTTCCATGACTTTGAAGGCCACATTTCACTTGATTGTACTTACAGTATTCCCATCATCATCATTTGTTTACTGGCAACTAACTGACTCCTCAATTGCTCTGTGTAAGAGTGTTTGTCATTCTGACATGCAACTCAGCCATTCAACACATCTCACAATATCAATCACAAAATCATGGTGACTGCAATGAAATGTATTTTCATTACTGGCATTTGGGAAAATATGTTCCTGGATCACAACCTTAATGACATTGCAGGGTTCTCACCAGGATTTTTTCACAGCATAGGGATCAGGTACAGAAGGGCAACTTTTGCAGCGCAAGTCACACATTGACCCAAAAAAAATTTGAAACTCATAACCCCCTGAGACACTATTTCTCACTTTTTGATGGACAGATTTTGTAAAGTTAAGGTTTTCCCTTTGCTAAAGCTTAATTCTGAAGTAATATTTTCATTTTTTAGCAAGATTTATTAATTTTCTTCCCAAAAAACACCCCTATGCTGGTTGAAATACAGCATAGGGGTCCAAATCACAGCATAGGGGGCCCCTATGCTCAAAAGCCTGGCGAGAACACTGCATTGTCCTAGCTGATGTTTTGGTAAGTCATCAGCTACCTTCCTCAAGGCCTGAATGGACACTCAAAGCATGAGGGTAGGGTAGTAGTGTCTATTCAAACTCTGAGGAGTTAGCCTGAATGGCACTTACCATGCCAGTGTTTCAAGAACATTGATTTTCCTACAATCTACCAAACTGATGAACTTTTCCACATGAATTAAGACAACAGACACATATACGTTTATGTATAAATTTGATGTAACTTTAATGCAGCCTTCTTCTAGAACCATTTACAATCTCAAAACCATTCTGATGCGGCATGCTGTTGTTGACTTTGTATTTTCCAAGGCCTACTGATATACTGTTATTGAGAGGGGATAGATACGATAGAATGGGTTGAAAAAGTCAATGCTGTATGCAACCATCTAAGAGTGCTGATGACATCATGGCAAGAGTCTACTGTTCACAAAACAAAGATGGTCACTCCACACATCGAGTTGTTTCAGGTACACTGTTGCCGATGGGAGGATCTATTCTGTTGGGCCCTCAAAACCCTTTCTGATGGAGCGGGCATTCTCCTCTGTAGCCCAGCTGTAGATGACATACCCGATCACCAGCTCTGCAAGACAGAAAAAAAACAGCATTACTTAATTGTCATAGTCAGTGTTAGTTATTAGCAAATACTCAGACTATTTTGGAAGCAATCAAAGGAGTGAACAGAGCTACTATTGATGAAAATCAGTGATGTCCTAACAGATTCAAGAAATGAAAATATAACTTAGAATTAAGCTATAACAAAGGGAAAACAAAAACTGTCCCCCAATAAGCAAGAAACAGTGTCTCAGGGGGTTATGAGTTACAAAATTGTGTAGGGAGAATACCAGACCCCCTCCTGTGGTCATATTTTGGGGACTCAATGCACGACTTGTACTGCAGAAAGTTGCCCTTCTGTACCCGACCCCTACGTTGTGAAAACTCCTGGTGAGAACCCTGAACATGGCATACAACTGTACTGCAGGTATCACAAATCCTTAGTCACTTACGAGGCACGATTCTGAATACTCTGTTCTTGGCTCTCCTCAGCAGGTTAGGGAAGCCCTTAGTGAAGTATCCGGCGAAGGCTCGCTGCTCTAAAGGTGAGATGCTGTAGGTGATGATGTGCCGCATCTTGTACAGCTCGCCAAAGTGCTTCCCCATGATGACGGCTACGTGGTGAAGAACACAAATTCATGTTTTAAAGTATACCAAGCCAAAAAATTATCTTCATGTATTTGCGTACATATAAACCTGCCTTTCTCCTGCAAGTCTCTAGTGTCACTGATGAAAGGTAGTGGATGCTGCCTGAAACATCTGACCATTTACAAAAATCATATCCAGTTGCTTGAGTAACTGCTTTTTTTTTTGGCACACCGTGCCATAGGCCATACTTTGTCCATGTACATGTGTGTGTCTGGGGAGGGGTGGTGGCAAATGTCTTGCATTTGTATGTATAATTTCGAATGAACTTCTTCCAATTAGATATGTGTTTACGTCATCAAGTCTTCGCAATAAAATATTACGTCGCATTGGCTGTATCAAACAGTTCGTTCGTATCCAGCGCGACCCATCATACAAATTTTGGGAGTTTTTCCATGTTGCCCCCCTCCCCCATCACAAAAGGTCGCAGTGCGCCAGTTACATAAAGAATCATCACGTACAAATTGAGCAAAATGTGCGACCAATATGAACGTCTACACACTATATAGCAACTAACAAATGTTTTGATATGCCACGGTACGCCACAAACCTGTTATTTTCCCCCAAATAGACGATTTTTATGGGGTTCTTCGTTCGTCCTCTCGAACTGACCTCCGCCGCGGCTGTCGCTACGTCATACGGCAGAGGATGACGGGTAATTGGGGATGAACCACTTTTGCTGGGGTACAATTTTCTATAGAAATCACCTGTCAGGATCCAGTGATTTTGGTTTGGTCGACCGGTCAAATGGTTTCTGTACTTCTGTAACAAGTATAGATGAATTAATTATGGACTATGAGAAATTATTGATAAGCCATGCTTCCTCTACCGAATAAAGTACAAACCAGCTTAGAAATAAAATGTACTGTCCCTAAATCAAGTAAGGTCAACCAGGGACAACAGGGCGGCAAAACATAAAATAGAGATATCAATGATCTACTTTCGTAAAACTGACATAAAAACAGTACAATATCATTTAATAGAATTTGAAATAATACATTGCCTCGAAATTTTTCATTATATAGATTTACTATCACATGTGTCTGTCTAAAATGAATTTGCCGGCGCAAGAAATGTACATTCTGACGCTCATCATTTTCCATAATGGCTACGTTGGTGTTGTTTTCTTGCGTGATCGGAATAAAGTGCCCTTGCTAAGGACAGGATTTTACCCTTTCTTGTTGCCTCATCTCATCAAATGAGAGACTCAGAGGGAAGATGAGAAGCAGGAGCAACTCTGGGGTCCGCTTGGACTACTACCAGCACCTCGTGTACAAAACTATCCTAACTCATCAGGTAGGATGTCGATCGGGACAAGAACGTTTTTATGGTGCACGTCAACTTCAACAAAAATAGTTGTGTCCGCCAGGCATCTGTCATGTGTCAGTGTAGCTTGACTAAGTGCTGTATCGATACTGTTTGTGACCGATTCATTGCTTCAGGGTTTTCGGATTCCTAGACGTTGTTAGTTTCGTAGTTAAACGTTTTACCAGTCAAAGCCGGTACACATTAGCTATCTATCTTTGCTGTTAGTCTACAATACTTTTCTCCTTTTCAACCAATTTCTTAGATACATGACATTGACAGCATTCATGTCATGTTGTCAACAACGAACGCAAGTATAGTAGTCTTCTTCCAACATTCTTATAAACGGCTGTCAGTACTGTAAAAAGACTACTGGCCATGGTAAAGCGAACTGCTGCCTTGACAATGACACTAAACCTTCAAGAGAAGTGAAGGTCATAATTATATAATCTCTAGCCGGGTCCATATCCGTGATCATGTTGAAAAAGCTGTTACTGGTAACAGTTTTCAGTCCTTCTAATGAAGTTACATGTCGGTCCTGCCCACAGTAAACCTTGGACACGCCCCTCCCCACCTCCAGTGGTCATGCCCAAATAAGGCAGGGGCGTGGTCATTGAGTTTTTTGAAGTGATTCTATTTCATACTCTGAAATGTGTCAGATTCTGTAGAGCTGTAGATTCTGTAGAATTACTAGTAAACACATGCCTCTTCTCCCAGCATGGTTTATGGTATGGTATCATGGTAAGCAGTACTAAGCATCATATTCAGAAGTGGTACTAGTAAATACTTCTACTACATAGAGAGGCCTGCCCTGCTCTGCTCTGCTCTGCCCCAGTGAGTGAGTGACAGAGTACTAACTTCACCTTTCCACAAGAGACTGCAACTACTGAGTGACTGATGACAAAAAGACAATTTTTTTTTACATTCTGTGTGTTTTGTTGTCTTTTACTAGTAATTTATACTTTTGTGTCATGCATCATGTTCTAATAATGAAATTTAAGGTCACACAGATTCAACTTTGATCGGTCAATGGTCACTCTGTTATTGTTAAAACATTAATAGTGTAACTGTTTAGGTTGTAAAGGTATTTCATGTTCATGTTTCAGGACCCTGCGACTGGTTTGCTGCCCTCCAGTTACAGTGTCAAGGTTGATGATGTCATAGCTTGTCTTAGAGCTATATTTTGCCCGGGAGTAGTGATCAATGTTTGAACTTTTCATATGATCAATAATGATAATCCCACTCTCTCTATTATATATCTTAGCAATGGCAATCACCTTCTTCTATCTTGGCAGCATAGCATGGCTGTATGATTGTACATGTATGTGATGCTGTATGATTTATAATTATTCTATAATTATAATTTCATGAACAGGAAATGAAGTGGAATTGTTTTATTTGTGTAATCTATTTCCTTTGTAGAAAACAACATTTCAGCAATCATACATTTATACATGAAATGTGTACTAATAAGCAGAGGACATGAATGTAAAGAAAAAAAGAGGAAACGCAGGAGTATTAGAACTATGATCAAGTGTAGGGAAAGGCTGGCTACATACATGTATGCATTGAATATGGCACTAGTAGGTACAATATAGTAGATGGAGGCATGACTAGAAGACCAGCAATTTTAGGTTTCTGTTGTATTCTGCTCACTAGCAGAGGAATGTGACATCATATGTGTCTATTCTAGTGCTAACCAACATATGGCTTTTGTTTGCATAGTTGGCTGCACTGCTCATTTCTGTTTCTCTCCCCTAAGTCACTAATGGGATCTTTATAATGGCAGTGAAAGAAGATTGAATGCAGCACGGAGAGAAGCATCCGAGCATGTCGCGAAAAACAGCCACTTAACGTGGGGCTCTCTCCAGCATCTGTCCTTTTGTCACAGAATGAAATTTTGCTGCTTTGAACAGAAAAGATTTCAACCCTTCATCCTAGGACTTAGCTAACAAGAATCAAAAGGTCACGGTATTTTCATCAGCTTATCAGCAGTGCAACCAAAACGTCCAGAAAATTGAGTGGAACTTGAAGCTATTTGAAATTTGTTCCTCAACTACGTAAAATATTATTTCAGAGCATGCCACTGTGCCCCCAGACCACTCCTAGCCCTCTACATATGAAGACTTGTCCAACTAAGAAGACAGACAAAAATTTAGAGCTTGAAAGAGCCCTGGTGTAATTTAAAGGTTTTTTTTGTCTCGGTCTAATAAACTTATTATGCTTTATTTTTTCCTCAGAATCCTATCACAGGCCTTTTGCCTGCCAGTATAGACCAGAACCATGCCTGGGTGCGTGATAACCTGTACTGTATCATGGCCGTGTGGGGCCTGTCGCTGGCGTACAAGAAAACTGCCGACATGGACGAGGACCGAGCCAAGGCGTACGAGCTGGAGCAGAGTGTGGTCAAGCTGATGAGGGGACTGCTGCAATGCATGATGAGACAGGTCAGGGGTCATCGTTGTGTTTAACCATCCTAATGTTAAGGTTATGCCAAACTGAATATATGGTGAATATATGGTGGATAACAACTACGTGTATCTTCTTGTACCATGACATAAGAGGCAGTGGTCGAAATACTTTTTTTCAGTGCTCTGCAATATTGCAGAAGAGTCAAAATTTTGTTCTGCAATTTGAAAATACTTTCTGCAAATACACAAGCCTCCATACTACAACCTTCTCAAACCATTAATGTCTTTGTTACATCATATATAGCTTTGTAAATCTGTAGCATTACTGGAATTCTTTTAAGTTTAATCTATCACTCTTTTTAATTTCAGACTTTATAGAAAATTTCCACAGAAAATTTATCGTTTACTGGTATCTTCACGGGTCCTTCACCGCTGTCTCCCACTACAAGCTACTACAACTAAAATCATACCTTACCTGTAAATGTACTAGTAAACACACCCACATATCATCCTTCCACACTACATACTAATAAAAGACACACCAAAAAACAGTACTTAACTCTTAAGCAACTCGATATGATTTTGGTGCTACCTGAAACGGTCAGACTAACTACCTTTTGTCAGTGACACTAAGAGAATTGCAGGTTTATAAGGACGAACTATTGATTCATATGCAAATTAGTGAAGACAAATTTTTGGAAGTCCAAAGGACTAAACAAAAGATAGACAAGTCAAGACAAGGATGATGCAAATTAGTGAAGAAGCTCCTGTTGCTTCAAAACAGGAGCTTAAGTGTTGTCTGTCCTTGGGGCCAGAGAGTTATAGTTTGCTTGAAGCTGGAGCCTATTTTTCCTTCTGCGAAATTGCAGATTGTATAAATTTTTCTTCTGCAATCTTGAAAATCTATCTGCAGATTGCAGACTGCAGACAGGTATTTCGAACACTGAGAGGCCATTTTAACAAACACATTTGCATTTTGTTTAACCATCCTAATGTTAAGGTTATAGCGGAAAGTTTAGAGAGAGTTGTCTTAAGCAATGATATTAAAGGTACTCAATGTAGAATTTATGCTGAGGAATCTTCTTGTAAATGGCATTTAGAGGCATATACATTTGCATCATTGTGTCAATCTTACATCAAGAACCTTAATACTAAGGACACTATTCCTAACTGAGGCATGTCATTGCAGTTTGTAGGAATAAAAACTATGATATGAAAGACAGCAATACAAGAAAAAAGTTTAAAAAGACTGGTGATGAGCACTATTTGTGTAAATTATGAATATGAATTGTTTATTTTACATTCATGTAAATGGCCTGGCCCAGTTTGGAAATGTGACCGTAGCATTGAAAGAAAAAGACACAATGTATAACTTCCATTCGAAAATAGTTTGGTTGGTAAAGTATAGGATACATCATCATCATCATCATGTCGGGAGTACATAGTAGTTCCCGGTCCCAAACCCTCTCCCGCCAGTCCACTCTATACAACACCATGCTACGAAATCGTATACAACCTGTAATGGAAAAAGTGCTGCGTGCCAATCAAAATGGTTTCAGGCAACATAGGTCAACACTAGGGCAGATCCTGACAGTGAGGAGAATTATAGAAGGGGTGAAAGCAAAGAATCTTGAAGCAGTTCTGCTGTTCGTAGACTTCTCAAAAGCTTTCGACTCTTGTAGGATAGAAGAGTTTTCTTTTATACAACCAAACCTTAAAACCACAAAAGTGTTTATCTGCTACATATAGTGGCAAGAAGCAGAATTCTGAAGCTATGAGGAAGGTGTCTGATAGACACTGAAATGGCAGTAAGGTAAACAGTTTGGTTGTGTAAAAGAAAACTCTTGTATCCTATAACTTCCACTGTTGCACAGGTGGACAAACTGGAGAAGTTCAAGTACACCCAGGCCACCACGGACGCTCTTCACGCAAAGTACAACATCACCACCTGTGGGGCTGTGGTGGGGGACATGGAGTGGGGACATCTGCAGATAGACGCCACCTCCCTCTACATACTCATGCTCGCTCAGATGACTGCATCTGGTATGTTAGACCCTCATGTATGTTCTCTATAACTGTGGGCTAGCCCCCTGCTGTAGTGCATGCACAAATGTGTAGTGGGGTCGTGTGACGTAGTGGCAGAGTGCTCGACTCGGAACCAAGGTGTCCCGGGTTCAAACCCTGCCATGCCACTGATCTTATGCCTTGAGATAGGCACTTTACATGACTTTCCTCACTTCACTCAGGTAAAATTAAGTACTGTGTTGTCCTTTGTGTTGGTGGTGGTATAAAATTAAGTTGAAAAAATGTCACTACATCATTCTTATGATTACATGTTCGGAATTTAAAATATGCGTAGTCCAAGGGCTGTAGAATTGAAATTGAGTACCATATACTATATTCAACAATCATCATATTCTTTTATCTTTTCCAGGTTTTCAGATCATTTTTACCCTGGATGAAGTGGCCTTCATTCAGAACTTGGTGTTCTATGTGGAGTCAGCCTATAGAACTCCTGTAAGTATGGCTGATATACTTATTACAAAGTTATGGTACTTATCACAACACTTAAGGATTGTCTCAGGACTTATATGTTTGATTTTCAATCCCTTTCCTTACTAATTATGGCTATGAATTGGTTAGGCAATAGTGCTTCATTGTAGTAAAGAATTCCGAGTTCAATAGACTTTGCTGTTTGCCCCATGAACAGGACTATGGTATGTGGGAAAGAGGGGACAAGACCAACCATGGCTGGCCTGAACTGAATGCCAGCTCTATTGGAATGGCAAAGGTAGGTCCAATGTTACATAACAAGTATAGCATACATTGAGAGTAGTTTTTGTTATGACATACATGTATATCTTATCAGCCAATTGATGTTTTACTGATTTGTTTATCAGGCTTCTCTGGAGGCTATAAAAGAGATGGACCTGTTTGGTTCCCGGGGAGGACCAGCCTCTGTCATACATGTCATGTCAGACGAGATCTCACAGTGTAAGGTCAGTACAGTCTTCCCACTATATACTGTGTACAGTGTAGTTTGTCTTACATGTATATTAGCATCCCTATATCAACTGTTCGTTATTTCCTGATTAAAACTTGCCAATTTAGCCATCAAACAGGTTTTGTTCCCCATCTGTTTCATCTGTACCAATGTTTTTTTAAAAGTCATCTTCATGTAGGTCATGTTAGAGCTGTACAGTGTTACATGTACATGTATATGGGTACTAAAACACCATTGCAGTCTATTGTACAACTCTTAAAAGTTATTCATTCTGTCCTAGGGTCAGTGTCAAATAGTTTTTTACTATTTTGCATGCTGCACATATAACCAGTATTTTGATAACGTTATCTTCTCATCTGTTTTGTGTCTATCAGGCAATTCTGGAATCCATGCTGCCAAGAGAATCAAAATCAAAGGTTTGTTTCAGAAAAAATCTTCTGATATCTTGTTAATGGCACTATGGAAATGTTTCTTTTTCAAGACTTTTTAAAGATATTAGTAATTTCTTCTCATTGTCTTTGTGGAAGAATCAAAGCAATGCTATCTGTTTTTCTCTGGCAGGAAATAGATGCAAGTCTTCTCAGTATCCTGTCGTATCCAGCCTTCGCTGTGGAGGATGTGGACCTAAACAACCTCACAAAGAACGAGATTATCAGTAAACTAGAGGTGATGTTCTAACATACATGTACTTAGGAATCCTCTTCCCTGGACCACAAGTTTACATTGTTGCAAAGAGAATGTATAAAAGATGTGCTAGTACATTGAAGGGGATACAAGAGTATCCATTCCTGTCAGGAAATATATCAGTAACCTCACAACATCAGTATACTAGAGGTGATGTTCTAACATGTAGTTTGGAATCCTCTTCACTGTACCACAAACTTGCAGATAATGTGTTAAATTGTTGTAAAGAAAACATAATCTATAAAAAGATATACGTCTAGTACATTGAAGGGGACACATGAGTATCCATTCCTATGGTAATGTAAAGTAAATATGTTGTTAATGTCCATAACTCACTAATTATGATTTATATCTTTTCAGGGTCGATATGGACTGTCTAGATTCTTACGCGATGGTTACAAGACTCCAATGGAGGTATGGCTATTATTTATTGGATAACAATTATCAAGTGAAGTTTTCTTTAATACATGATTTATTGAGGTAACTTGTAATACATTATGATTTAGCCCTAGATACATATGTTGGTCCACTTGTCACATTCATGTATATTCTGTATCTGTATCTGATTCAGTATAGCCAGTATAACCACCCTTCAGCATAACATACCAGCTTTGCAGGCAGCTGGCTACATTACACTGAATGACTTGTTACACCTAACCCTTGAACATCAAACTCTAAACATTGTTTAGAGCTATCTAATGATAATGCCCCTACTGCTGTATCTGTATAGCCACTGTACTTGGTGGCAACGAGTTCTGTTCTACTCTATTTTGTACTTCCACCCACGGATTCATCCATTTCTGTCGCCAGGATCCTCGTAGGTTACACTATGAACCCTGGGAGCTGGCAGTGTTTGAGGGTATTGAGTGTGAGTGGCCTCTGTTCTGGACATACCTGATCCTGGATGGACTGTTCAAGGGAGACAAGGCACAGGTAAAGATGCCAGGCCTCCATGGAGCCTGTAGCTGAAGAGTTTGGTGGCTACAGGTCACTGATTCAAGTTTAAAGTAGAAGTACTATTAGAAATTATTGTGATATCGTGTGGTGCAACAGCAGGGCGTCTGGCCCAGAACTCAGAGGTCCTTGGTTCAAATCTTGCCATGTCACCGATCTTGTGTCCTTGAGAAAGGCACTTTGTACCACTTTCTTTACTCCACCTAGGTCTAGAATGGGTACCTGACTTCATGATCTGTTGGGGAGGTGAAAGGTAGTGGAAGGAGAGGGATGGGCTTCACTTTCCCATATAGTGCCCTTAAGCTTGACACAGTAGATAACAACCCACGGCAGCAAAAAAGGCCATGGAACTGCCTTTACCTACCTTTTTACCATTAGAAATTATATACCAGTAGAAGCTCAGAAGTCCAGATGCTTGGGAGGGCTTAGTTTAGGAAGAGTAATCATTATGTTCAACTTGGTAATACTGTTGTAAATAATGTACACTTGCTACATGTAGGTGTTGGAGTACAAGGAGAAGCTGGCAGAGGTCATGGTCAAGGGTGAAGACGGTCTGCCTCTCATCCCTGAACTCTACACTATTCCTGCAGACAAGGTGAACAGGGCTTCCACCTTTCTCATGTTGTGAAGTTGCATAGAATATGTTGTAGATGCTCAGTTAATGTCTACTGGGTCTTTGCTATTTTGTGTACTATGTATTACATTGCAGAAAAGGCTGCATGTAGACATTATTACTCTAGATGTTGTTTAGCAAATTGTTCTTGAATTGTTTAGCACTGTACGTTTTGAAATATTCATGGTATTATTACCTCCATGAAATGTGTCATGGAGGTTATATTTTCAGTTGCGTTTATCTGTCCGTCCGTCCGTCTGTCCGTCTGTCCGTCTGTTGGTCAACAAGATAACTCAAGAACGCCTGGATGGATTGGTTTCATACTTGGTGTGTTGGTAGGGTGTGACGAAAACTGGAAATGATTAGATTTTGGTCCCCCTAGTGGCTTCCCTTGGTACTGCAGCGCAACTTCCGGTTTTGATATCTCGCGATCTGGACATGCTAGGGTCATGAAATTTTGATGGAAGGTAGCTCTCGTGCTTGGGAAGAAGTCATATGAGTTTGGGCCCCCTAGCGGCTTGTTCTGGAACTGCAGGGCACTTTCTGGCGAAATGTTTAAAAGCCCATAAGTCCAGACAGGAACAACATATTTTCATTATTTTTGGTGTGTAGGTAGCTGAGAGAGAGATGTACATAATTAAATGCAAATTATGCAAATGAGGGCTTTATTTGCATAATTAATGAGGAAATTCTATAATTACAGTGTTTTACATTATACTAATTACATACATGTAATGTATGTAACCTATGGCAGGCGGAACTTCAACAGATACTAATTATGCAAATGATGACCTAATTTGCATAATTAATGCGAAAATTCTATGATTTCGTAATGGTGAATGATGAGAATGTCATACTTGGGACATCTGTAAGTTAATCAAAAGTTAACATACATCACGATGCATATATCATGTTAATGCAGAGGTCATTTGCACAATTAAAGAAGAAATTTACATTTACATATCAAGATCATATTTCATGGAGGTATGATGTCTCGGAATTCTAGTTTAGTTTGTGTTTTTTGTGGCCACCTCTCCACTAGTACTACAGACGTTTGGACAGTAGATACAGTCTTCTGTTATATTTCAGTGTTATGAGCTGACATAAATTTGGGTAGGTTGTTGTTGAAGTTAATCTGGATGTTTCAGGTGGAGGCAGAACGTGAGGACCCCGGCAGTCAGGAGAGAACACCAGGAGGGAAGATGCCTCACATGTGGAGCCAGTCACTCTACATCCTAGGCTGTCTCATTCAGGAGGTAGGGGGGACAGCATCTGCTGGAATTTTTCTATCATATAGGCATAACTGTACAGATTTAATAGCTTATGAAAGGATTCTTTTCATACAAAGAAGTTATCTTAAACCGCGAATACCAAAACCACTAGGATTACTCTCATACACAATTTTCTGTTCCATTTTTAAAACTTTTTGATGAATTATGAACTGTGTTCCCCCAGGGATATCTTGCACCTGGAGAAATTGACCCACTAAACAGACGGCTGATTGGGCAGCCCAGACCAGACCTTGTTGTCCAAGGTAATGTATACATTGGCTATTCTTCTAATTACAACACATTTTTATCAAAAGACACTGGTCTAACAGGGACTGCTCTAGTGCCTGTCATGAGGGACAGGGGTATTGGAGTAACTTTTTGAAGCGTACCTCACCGGATTAATCTGGAGGCATGACGATGATGATGATGGTTGTTGTTCCAGTGTCCATCCTAGCAGAAGACCTGTACATTCAGGACCTGCTGAAGGAGCATGCGATAGACGTGCAGACCACTCAGGAGGTGGCCAACATCAAGGTGCAGCCTGCCCGCGTCCTCTCGCACATCTACCACCATCTAGGTAAGGTCAACATGCAGGCACTGAACTGTTCTGCAGTAGACAGCTCCTGGGGCCTCTTCGATAGCCTTGATGTTCTATATTGACATGCAGTGACGATGATGATGATTCTATCCAATGTACATGTATCAAACAGTATATTATACCTGTCATATGCATTTTTGTAGATTCCTGCATTCTATATATTATTCCAAATTTGTTGTGCTCTTATTATTTTTTGCCATGTAGAGACATTTTGTTTTTTGAAAGATCATTCCTGTAAATTCAATGTATTCACACATTTGTTGCTGACATTTTTCTGTGCTCAGGCAGTAGATGTATCTCTGCTTTCTAGTATCCTGCTCTATGCTGCCACCTCACCATTGCTGCACCATATAGATTAACTTCAGACTCTCTTCCTTTGTAATTCTGTGCTTTTTGTTGTATCCTCGTCGCTGTCTACCCCTGGTGTTGATGCTTTTAAAGGTCCAGGTAAATAAAAACATACCCTTCTCAGTTCAGCACCTCATGCTCTGCTGCATGCAAAGTTTGTTTGTTTGTTTGTTTCTTGTTCAGTGGTATATTTGGAGTTTTAAAAATATTTGCTTTCAGACTAACACAATATCCATCTTTTCCCTTGTCCTTTTCCTGTGAAGCATTCTTCTTTGATTGTACTAGCAGTTTTCCCTGTTATTTGTCTTTCTTTTTTGAAATCCCGTTGTGTCTCTGTGTACCTAATGTTTCTTGACTTTTCCATTTAAGAAGATACACACAATTGATAAATAATCATTCTATGAACATCACAGACTTATACTAGTTATAGTCCTTGTCAGTTCCCTTCTTCTTCCAGTGCCTCAGTTTCCTTATTATTACAGCCAGTGACTTTCCCCATACCAAAATAGTTTCCTGACAGATCAAAAAGAGCTGCAAAGACTAGAACTATAGTCCTTGTGATGACGTAGCTTGGTTGTAATCTGCAGGTCAGAATAAGAAGCTGGGTTTGTTCTTGTCCGTTCCCTTGTCAGCTCCTTTCCCGTACTAAAGCAGTTTCCTGACAGATGAAACAAGTCTGAACAGAGCTGCCTAAACTAGAACTGTGATCAAACATGGTTGTAATCTGCAGGTCAGAATAAGAAGCTGGGTTTGTCAGGGCGGCCATCTTATGACATCGGTCTGCTGGGTACCAGTCAGCTGTACACACTGAAGGGGCAGACCTTCGCATTTACTCCACAGGTGAGCTGGATTAAGCACTTTCTAAAAACTTCTCATGAAAATTGTTACTGGACATACTTTTAGTTTACTCTTTGAATCAGGCTCAGGGCCCATATTAAATCAAATCTTTATTAAATATCAACATGGCAGACGTGCCGAAATGCTTCGGGCACGTCTGAATTGCATTGACAATTAAAGAAGCCGAACCCAATAAGTTAGAACTAGAGTTAAACATTAGATTCCAATATTTAGGCTAGAGTAGTTACATGCTGTATTGTTACACATTGTCTGTTCCTTTGTATGTCCACTTACATGTACTTGCAATTAGCCCACGGGCAAGAACTTGCAATAAACTTACTATTAAAAACAACAATCTATCTCAGTTTAGAGATTCAACTTATACAATACAATTTAACAATTTGAAAGTAAAACTTGCATGAGGACTCCTATATATTCCATGTCGATGTTGGAAAACCAATTGTGCAACATTTAATCACTCAGGTGTCAGATCATGTAGCTAGAAAAGGTCCATCAGCCAAAACAATTGATGTCCCTTGCAGGGGTTCACACAAAAAAGGCTAGGGTTGGCAGTTTTTTCTAGGGTCGGTCGGGAAACAGAATATTATTTTTCCTATGCCCCACTAGGCTAATGCTGTGGTGTCAACTTTAACATCGATAAAAGATGCATATGTTGCCTCTGTAGTTCATAGACCAGCAGCAGTTCTACCTTGCTCTGGATAACGAGCTTCTGGTGGACATGCTGAAGACAGACCTGGCCTACCTGCGCTACAACTGGAGAAACCTGGGCCGACCCACCGTCACCTTCCCGGTCAGCCATAACATGCTAGGTGAGACCTTCTGTCAGTACAACATTGCTGACTAGAAAAAAAAATTAAGAAAGACCTCAATCTTAAGGCTCATACAGCAAAAGGATAGCTGTTTCGTGGGGGAAAAGGGCTTGCTTTATAACTGGAAGTATTCTGTGATTTTTTGCATTACTAAACAACTTTTAAACAAAGTTGATAAAGATGACAAAAACATGCTAGGTGAGCACTTCTCTCAGTTCAACATGTCTGACTAGGAAATATGGTGAATTCGAAGCAAGACCTCGGTCTTAAGGCACATATACAGCAAAAAGATAGCCGTTTCGTGGTGGAAAAGGGCTTGCATTAAAACTTGAATAATTGAAGTATTCTGTGATTTTTGCATTACTAAGCAACTTTTAATTCAAGTTGATACATGAGAAAAACATGCTAGGTGAGCTGTTCTCTCTGTATAACATGCCTGACTAGGAAATATGGTGAAGCAAGACCTCGGTCTTAAGTTAAGGCACATACAGCAAAAAGATAGCCGTTTCGTGGTGGAAAAGGGCTTGCATTAAAACTTGAATAATTGAAGTATTCTGTGATTTTTTGCATTACCAAGCAGCTCTTATAGTCAAAGCTGATGCATGCAAATACCAGGTTTAAACACAACAACCAAGTTTCCAAAGGATGGATAACAAATGCAGTTTGTGTATGATTGTTTGGTTCCCTTCGATCTGTGTTCTGTGTTTAATTGTCTATAAGCTAGAAATGAGCCTTCATTTTTCCAGACACCATAGATAATTCATCCCTACCAGCTTTATGATGATGAGGAGTCTACTCTTGAAAAGATCTTCATGGCAACTTCTATATAGTAGACATTGTTTTGATGATTGCGTGCAGGATCTTTGTTGTTCATGTATGTCATTGAGTAGGTGTCTAACTATGCTAACATCACACATTTTACCTGCACATTCACCTACAGCCGTGGCAGCAGAGTCACCTGTTATGTTGAGGCTCCGTTCTGGTACAAAATTATTAATTCTCCTGTGATGCAGTGTCCCAAGTGTTACTACTGACACAGACGGCCACACAAAAGGCCACACTAACACAGATACGTCATGCAACCAAACCTGTTTATAGTGTCCAGTCAAGGGACTTAAAGAAAATGGTCACTCACAACATACATGTACAGGAGCCCACTATGGACGGGAATTTGCGTAATGCTTGGATCAAAGGCAAAAGTTGATCTCAAGGGCTACTAAAAAGTGGCCACGCACAATGGCCAAATGGTCCTTAAGATAGAAGTTGACACTAGTACATGTTTGCCTGTAATTGAAATAGCACATAGATATCAGCATTGTGTAAAAGTAAAAAAAAAAGAGTGACAGTCACTGTTTTCTATGTCATGAGTGTGACATTAATTTTTGCTAACTTGTGTGTGTTGGTTGCTATTCCTGAATATTTTCCTTTCATTTTAGATTAATAGATAACTATTGAACATGATTATGACTCTCAGCAACATACAATTATGTAGACTTAAAATTCTGGCAACTTGCACTATTGAAGGTAACGCAAATTGATATCTCAAGCCCTGGATTTTCAGTTACATTCATCTAAATGATCATATGAACTAGCCTGGGTACCATCCGGATTTTCGCTACGCAACGCTTGAAAAAATCAT